CAGAGAGACATTTTTAAAGGAGCGGGGAATTGTGGGTGAATCAGAGAGGCTCAGGGGGGGACAGATGAGGGCAATTTTGGCAATAAAAGCTGCCTCAGGGAGCATGTGCTGTGACAGTTTCTTTGGGCAGAGAAAGAGCTCATGAGGAGAGCAAAGAGCAATACCAGCCTTTGACCAGGAGCAGTGCCATCTCCCACCCTTCCCCAAAACTGAGAATGTTTGGGCAGGAATTTAACAAAGTTCCATTAGTGAGGATTTAAATCCTGTTTTCTATGCCCCCCACCCCCACTTTCTCTCACAGTGGTTCAGAAGTCCTTGCTAGAGATGTGTGACAATGGATTGGAGGGAAACGAGCGATACCAGCTACAAATTTGCCCTTTCAAGGAGTCAAGGGGAGAGTATTCCCCAAGGTGAAGTGCAGAGAAGCACAAAGGGCCCAATCTTGCCTGGTGCCAATCACCTCCTGGATGGTGCACAGCCTCTCAAATAAGGTGCATGGCTCCTTGCAGGATCTGGCAGCATGGAGGGATCAAGATCTCTGGGAAAGTGTGCAGGGTGGAAGAGGAAGGCAGGGGTTAACCTGTATAGTCTGAGGATAATTACCATACTGTACCTTTCCTGACTGCTGCTGCTGCTTCTTTTCCATCGGTGGAATGGAGAAAACTCTGTAAAACTCTCACTCCCTCAGCCTTCCTCGCTAATCTTACTCTGCTCTATCACGTACACACTTAGCAACCTTTGCCATCTGACTGTGCTATTCTGTTGAGAGAACACAAGACCACACATTGCAGAGCGAGCAGCTGGGTGGGAGGGGCTGCAAAACACCTCCCATGTGCAGGCAAAATACTTTTGCAACTTTTGCAACCTTTCTCCCGCCCTCAGCGAGAGCAGGAGCTTGAATCACTTCCTTACTCCATCCTCTGCAAATGAATTGTTTTACTCTTCTTATTTACCAAGTGACAGTGCTGGAGAGGAAAGGGTGGGTAGCAGGCAGCCTTGTGAGCTTTCTCTAACAAGCTGATCAGGAGTGTCTGCACTTATGAAAGGGAAATCCAATCTCTATGGCCTATTCAGGCTTTTCCTGCCCCACACAGACTGCCAAGTTGGGGTGGCCACTGCAATGGCAGAGTTCTTGATGTGAATAGCTGTCCACCAGAAGCTAGACAAAGACCCCTCAATTCCATAGACCAAACACCCATCAGATGGGAATGAAGTCAGTCTACTGGCTGGGGCTGAACCAAGAGCCTACTGACAAAAGTCTGTATCCTCTAATCCAGTGGTTTTCAAAGTATGGCTCACGACCCAGAACGGGGTCCCAGAATGTCAGGCACAGGGTTGCCTTGCTGTGGGGTGACCAGGTGATGAGAGGGGATGCTAAAGCAGGCTTCCTGCCTGTCCTGGCACCATGGACTGTGCTGCGTCCCAGAAGAGGCCAGCAGCTGGTCTAGATCCCAGGAAGGGGGACTAGGGGCTCCACACGCTACCCTGAGCCCCACCTTTGAAAGGGGCAGTGCTTGCTGGCGAAAGCAACATGCGGAACCACTTGTGTGCCTCCACCTAAGAACGGAACGTGCTGCTGGCCACTTCCAGGGCACAGAGTGGTCCAGGGTGACAGGCAGGAAGCCTGCATTAGCACCCCTGCCTCCCCTCACAGTGGGAGCCATTGGAGGTGAGCCTGTGCCTGGCAGCCAGTCCACAAAGGGAGATGGTTTTTAAACTGGCTCCCCTCACAGACCAGATCCCACCAGGCACCCTGCGCTGAGGGTGGCAGCAGTGTGGAGTGGCAGGGGGCTCCTCAGGAGTTGGACTGGAGCGCACTGGCTGCTGGCCCCAATCCGGGGACTATAGAATAGTCAAACAACAGATAAGAATTCATGAGGTTAATCAACTATTCAATTAATCAATATTTAACATCCCTAACCTGTACATGGTTACATGGAAACATAAGATGATGAATATAAGCCCCTTCCAATCTTAACAGCATGTATTTAACTAAACATAATTAAGATCACCCTACAAGCAACCAAACTTTTATACAACAATATTCTAATAAGAAACACCATGAGAGAGCTATTTTGTGTATTTGCCATTTTATTAGAAGGAAAAAAAGCCATGGGTGGATTGCCGTGAAAAAGAAAAAGAAATTATGAAAATATCACACCAACGCAAACAAAAAATCCGAGCATCTCATCTGGATATTACCCCAAGCAGCCCTTACTTGTTCATTTTAGTGCCGGTAACTACCAGGCATGTATTGAGATTCCAGTGGATAAATCTAGAACAGAAGAGCAAGCAGCAGCTCACAGTCTCTCCTTTCCACCTGAGGAAGGGAGGCAGTCTATGCACACCAGGTGAGCCTCCATCCAGGTGATGCTTACTGGTTAACCATTCAAATCCCTAATAGATACTTTTAAAGAAAAAGTAAAAATCACAGAACCTTCAAGTCACAGGACAGGCAGCACAGCTGTGATGTGGAGAAAAGGGAATTCTTTCCACAGGTTAAAAAAAACAATCCACAACTCTGCATTCTCCTCAGCTCTATCAACTATGGCTTGTAACAGTATTAATTTCAACTTTGTTTCAACAGCAGACAACTAGCGTGGAAAGAGATTTAGTAAAGGCACTCCTGGAATATGTGAATATTTTCTTAATCAGATTAAAAAAAAAAAAAAAAAGGAAACCAAGAGGCAGCGCCCAGGTGAAAGAATTAATCAGTTTAGTAACTTAGCTCTTGGCAGAAGTGTGAGTTGACAGAAGGAACATAATCAACTTCTGCAAGTGACAAAGGTCGCTCCCAGCCCAGGGAAGACCCAAGAAGTGTTTTGCTGGTAAAAGACACAAGGGGAAAAAATTTCAAAAAGAAAAAACAAATGAACAAATTGAACAATACAGCTTTTCACTGACTGTCATAATTGAAGACTGATCCTGGCGACTGGCAATGAACAAATTGAACAATACTTACAGCTTTTCACTGACTGTCATAATTGAAGACTGATCCTGGCGACTGGCCAAACCTCCCTCCCTTTAATGAAGTTACTATACATCTCGAGGAAACTCCCGTCCTTTGCAAACTTCCACCTAGCAGTAATCTTCCCGTCGCTCTCTGCTTTTTAATGATCTTTCTTACAAAACACTTGCACGTCATACAAGAAAAATCACACCATAGCTGTACAGAGACAAGCTAGATCTTCTCCACCCTCCTCTTTCCCATCCTGTATTAAGTCAGGGAAGGACATTTCTCTTAATGCCCCCTTCAAATCTCCAAAACAAAAACAAAACATAAAAATAAAAAACAACAAACTTTTCAGGTTACTCTCAATTCTGCATGTGTCTCGTAGCCTCTGGAAGCCCCCTGGTTTCATTCTCAGGAGACCACATCAGACACTCCTGGATAAGGCCATGCATGGGTTGTTAAGGCCATGCACTGTCCCAAGGTTGTTCAAAGCTGAGAAAGCTCCCCCTGCCCTCCCCCCAACGTTAACCCAGCCTGCAAAGCAAGCAGTGATCAGCTGTTACTTACCATGCTCCTTGCTATGAAGGCCAGCATAGCCCTGCGTGTGCACCACCCCGGCTACTAACCACTGCCCCCGAGTGAGCAAAGTCCTGTCAACTCAGCAGCCCCGGCCTTGCGAGACACAGAGACAGTTAGCTACAGTGTAACTTCAGCAGCAGCAACCCAGCTACAGCGTAACAAGTCCGCACGGCCGTCCCTGGCTCAGCAGCCGCTGGGGGAGGGCGCAGCAGAGCAGCCATCTTTGTGTGGGGCACAGCCCTCCTCTGCAATGACCAATAAGCAGAGGCGCGACCATCTTTGTGAGGGGCAGGGCTCTGCTCTGCATAGCTCTCTGATGACAGCTGATCCCTGGTCTAAACTAGTGCAGTCATCTCCTCCCTTTCTCAGTTCCTGATCTCAGGAGTTAGGAGGGAGCAGAGATCAGCAGAAGGAATGGCTTCTGAACTAGGACTTGTGCCTGCAGAGACAGGAATGTGTATTAAGTGAAGATATGACAGCCCCTGCTGATGAGCTGAAAAGTTTAGTCTTTCATTCAGTCTATAGCAGTTCATGCTTTTAGCTCTTCAGTGTTTTGGCCAGGTGGTAGCAGTCACACATGGTCACTCTACTCCACTCCAACCGAACTGCTGTTGGTAAAATCACCTGCTTATCTTGCCACTCTGACCTTACAACTAGGCTTGGCAGGTTTCCACTTCTATGTTTTATAAGTTTTGATCCCTGTGTTTATTTTTAAACATTTCTTTAGATGTGTATCGGAATTCATACTGTTGTGGGAAATTAAAGGGGGAATTAGACAACTATTAGACAATGAAATTCCAAAAGTTAAAGCTTTGTAAACATGAAAGCACTCTGTGCACATCATGTGTCAAAATCCACAAAGTAAATATCTTTAAATCAACAAATCATATCTGTTTTTACTATTCATTTCCGAGACTATTTGTTTAATTCAAAAGTCTAATTTAAAAAATCAATGGATTTTGAATCCAAGTTCTCAAACTGTTTTTCTTACTTTGCATATTGTGCATTTTAGTTATTATTCATGGGAATGTTTTTGTTGGTTGGTTTGTGTGCGTGTGCATGTGCGTGCATGCAGTGAAATAAATGTTTGCTGACATCTACTGACAAACATTTAATTCTTTAAAGCCAATGTATCAGTGATGGGCAACCTTCGTGGACTAGTGGGCCACATAACTAGTGGTGGGCTTGCAGCCCAATAGGGTTCCCGTGAGATGCATGTGGAGTATGGGAGCAGTCTGGGGGGTGCACAGGCCACAGGTGAAACCCCAGTGGGTTGCATGCGGCAATAGGGCTGCAGGTTTCCCACCACTGCTATATATAACCTTTCCCCTCAGCCCACCCAAGCTGTTCAGATCCCTTCCCTGACTTTCTCCTACATTAAACTAATCTCTTCTTCTTCTTCTTCTTCTTCTTCTTCACAACTCTGCACAATGCTACTCTTTAACTATTATTTCTGTTTTCTGTTCCTTCCTATTTCCCCTCTCCCCAGCAGTGTTAACCCATTGGGGGGGTCCTAACCAGAAATATTTGGGGGGCACCACACAAAACACAAACTAATAATTAATAGAGGCCCCCTTGGAGCTGCACAGGGCCCTAAGCAATAGCTTAGTCTGTTTATGCCTAGCACCAGATTAGCCCCTGGGCCTGTAGACTGTGCTCCATCCAGCATTATCCCACTCTTATCTATGCATTTTTCTCTGTGCTATAACTTATGCTTGGGACAGTCTCTTTCTCAGTGCCAAATGTTCTTCCTCTCCTAGGAATCCCTCCTTAAAGCAGATATCCTTCTAGGACATATTTCAAGAATAGTACACCAATAAAAATGGTAAGGGAAAATATGCATGCTACAGGGAGATGAGATCCACAGCCCTGGGTTACATCACAGTGTCTGATGCTGACTTCTAGTGACTTGTAGCAAGAACAATCTCTGCCTTTTGATCCCATACAACACTGACAGTGCTCAACACTGAATTAACAAGAGAGGGGATGAAGATGAAGTAGTTGAACCTGTGTCTGGATTTCCAGACCTCCCACAGTTTAGAGATGTCTTTTTCTCTTCCTTTCTCCCTCCTTTTATAAAGAGGGAAGCTATCTGCTAAATTATGGGCCAAAGCAGGGATTAGGTCTTGGAGAGCATTTGGAACTGGAGTTTTGGTTTATCATATGCAGAACTAGTAGTGGCATCTATAGTTCAGATTACTTTACAATTTCCATTATAAGATAGTTTTCACTTGCTTATAACCATGACAAACTTCAACTATTTGAGCTGAAATGTCCAGTGTTGGGTGTCTGACACACGCTGAATATTTTGGGAAAGTTTCAGCAAAAATGACCACGCCATTTCTGAGACTGAGTTTGGGGGAAAAATACCTTTTTTAGTCCCCATCGATAATTATTTGGCAAGGATCCAGTGGAAACAATATGAAGTGTTCCTGTAATTAAAGACTATAGTTCAGGTGTTCTCAAACTTCATTGCACCATGACCCCCATCTGACACCAAAAATTACTTCATGATCTCAGGAGGGAAATTGATGCCTGAGCCTGAGTCCCACTGCCTTAGGCAAGTGTGTGGGCAAAGTCAGAGCCCTACTGCTTCGGACAGGGTGGTCAAAGCTGAAGCCCAAGGGGCCTGGAACATGAGCCCCACCACCAAAGGTGGAAGCTCTCAGGCTTTGGCCCCGAGAGGTGCAGTTTGGGCTTCAGACCCGGGCCCCAGCAAGTTTGTCAGCCTTGATGATCACCTTAAAATGGAATGGCAACCCACTTGGGGGTCCGTATCCACAGTTTGAGAACTGCTGCTGTAGTGTAACGCAAGCGTGCAAGCAGGCAGAACCTTAATTCTGGAGTTTGTGACTTTGGGCTGCTTGACTTTGAAATCGTGTAAGCTACAAGAATGTAGCTTTTTTTCAGCATAACAGAAAAGAGGCTGCCCTTGAAATGGGAATCCGGAGCTGCGTTTGGATTCCCACATGTCACAACTCCAGATGTCAGAGACTCCAGAGTCTGAAGTGTGCTCTGGTTCTGAAGCACACACATCTCCTGATTTTGGGGGTGCCAGATGTGCCATAGCCCATCGCACCTCAGAGGCAGGTGGGGGAGTCTCCTAGCTAGTGAGTTGGGTTCTGCAGGGCTATCTACTTCCCTGGCGCCTGACATTAAGTCAAGCCCCAAAAGTTCCTTAATGAATGCGAGTGCCCCGCACAAACATGGCCGCCTGGGTGTGGAATCCGGAGCGCCCCGCACAAACATGGCCGCCTGGGTATATGTGTGTGGAATCCGGAGCGCCCCGCACAAACATGGCCGACGGAATTACTACGACTGCTTGTGTGCCCCGTGCAATATGGCCGCCGTGCCCGGCACAAGTATGGCCGATCGACGCGTCAGTTGTGCTAAGAGGTTAAAGGTGATAACGGCGGGGAGGGGGCTGGTTCCAGGAAGATGGCAGAGAGCGAGCGGCAGACGGGTAGGGGGGAAGCTCCGCAGGGGGCGGGGGCAGCAGCGTGGTGCCCTGCAGGGGAGTGGGGCTGCGCTGGGCAAGGGTGCCCCATAGTGGGTGGGGTTGTGTGGTGCCCAGAGCGGGAGGGGCTGGGTGGTTCCCTCTGTGGGGGCAGGAGATCTCTGTGCCCCATAGGTTGTGTTTGTTGGGGGGTGAGGCTGAGTGATGCTCTCTATGGGGACTGGGTGTCTCTGTGTCCCATGGTATGTGTGGGGGAAGGCTGCATGATGCTTTCTGCACGGGGGTCCTTTCCCCTGTACTGTGAGGGGAAGGGGCATTTGAGCAATGTGCACTGTGCGGGCTGATAGTCTCTGTGCACCAAAATTGCGGGGAGGTCCTGGGCCCTCAAGAGTCTGTGCCCTGAGATGGGAAAGGTGAAGGGGGGGAGTCTGTAATATAGGGTTCCCTGCTTTTAAGTAGGAATGGGCTCTTGAGGAACGGTTACTGTGCTTTGGAGTCTCAGGGTGTGGGGGAGCAGGTTGCAGTGTCCCTCTCTGTGATGGCCTAGACTGAGAGCCCCAGAAAGATTGATGCTAGTCATGGGGGCAGTTATTCTCCCCTGGCTCACTGGTGAAGACTTAAAAAACAATGGATAGTCCTGCAGCACCTTAGAGACTAACCAAAAATGTAGATGGTATAATGAGCTTTTGTGGGCACAACCCACTTCTTCAGAGGAATGGAGTTAAGGGGTCCAGGGTACAAATAAATAGCAGAGAGAGAGAAAGGGAGAGGGGAAAATGGGGGGAAAATATTGTCAATTAGTGACTATGCTGTATGAGGCTAATAGAGTAGGCTCTAAGTACCTGGTGCTTAGCTTTTGATGTCATTAGGGTGTGGAATGTAGTGGCCCATCCAGTCCAGGTCTTTTTTTAAGCCTTGTTTCCAGGTGTCAGACTTATACATTAAACCAAGTTCTGTAGCTTCTTTCTCAATCTGGTTTTTGAAATGGTTTTGTAATAGTCACTTCTAGATCCATTCGTGAGTGCCCAGGCAAGTTAAAATGTTCCCCAATGGGTTTCTGAAAATTAATATTTTGAATATGAAAAAACTTAAAAAACAACAAATAGTCTGGTAGCATTTTAAAGACTAGATTTGTGAAGACTTGTACAGGAAGGAGTAGCTGGTAGCAGGGTCATTAAGGACATAATAGTCCAGTGTTTCTCAACCAGTGGTACGAGTACCCTTAGTGGTACATCAACACAACTGAAATTTGGAGAAAACTGAATTTTTGTTTTAAGTTTTATAGCGCTTTATTATTTTTGTATTTTTTACACCCAAAAATTCCATTGCCTGCCTGGCTATTATTAAGTTGTTTAAACAAATGTGTTGCAATGGTAGAAAAAAAATGGTGTGTCTGAAAACTAGGTACTGGAGGTACTTATAATTTTTAAAGGGTACTTTATGTAAAAATGTTGAGAAACACTGTAATAGTCAATGGTGGCTGTGCTTCTTGGGGGCAGCAGAGGGGATGTGAGGGAAAGGTGGTTTACTGAAGTTGTAGTTGGCACCTTGGACCTGTCTGTCACCTGCTGTTGCCTTGGGCAGCTGCTATTCTAGGGATAGATTTTGGTCCTTTTGCTGCTGCTGCTTTTAATTCTCCCCAGAGCACTGTTCCTTCGCTCTTGCCTAAAAGTTGTTGTGTGTGTATATTACGGTAGCCCATTTTGTGCTAGGTGCAATACTACAGCTAGCAAGAGACAGTCTTTGCCCCAGAGGCCTTGCTTTCTAAATAAGAGGGGTGTTGGAGGGGGGTTAGGGAGCACAGAAAGAGAAAGTGATTTGCTCAGTGATGGCAGAACTGGGATCATAGCTTGGGCCTCCTGAGTCCCTGTCTAGTGGCTTATCCCCAGACCGCACTGTCTCTGAATCTTCCTCTGCCCTCTTACGGGTGATCAATATTCTTGGTAGCCAAAGCTTTCCTTCATTAGTGTACTGGGGGGTTCATTGAACTTTCTGTTTATTATAATTGATTTTAAAGCATTTTAAAAAAAACTTTTACACTAATGCAATATTTCTGGATACAAATAAAATTCCACATGCACTCTAACATGCAGGGGGAAATTAAGGGACAGAGAAGTTAAATGACTTTCCTAAGGCAGCACACTGAAGCTGTGGCAGAGCTTGCAATGGAATAGTTTTGATTCCTAGTCATCTGGTGTGATTCTAGAGAGTGCGCCCTTCCTGGAAAAAAAGGAAGAACTGTGAACACTTTTGGGCAGTATTATCTGGGCAAGTCATTATAAATGTTAAGCTTTTGTTAGAAAGTGATGTTTTAGAATTTGCTGTTAGTGCTAAGAATTTTTATTGAAGACAGTGTTGTCTCAGTGCTTGATGTTGGACAAAAGATTTGAAATCTTCTAGGGCTGAAAGTATTAATTGAGGATATTTCATGCTAAATATCCTCTTGGTTTTCTGGTTCATGGTTGTTTGCTGTATTGCATCTTGATTTTAAGCTTGCTTATGGAAACATAGTGCAAATGTGCCTTTAACCTTGTGGCAGTGTTTCCAGCTCTGCAGTGTCCTCGCATGGGACTGCAGGCTGAGACTAGAACCAGTTGTTCACCTTGGATTGCAGAGGACTTGGGAAAGGAGTGACTCTTATATTGGGATTTATTTTCTTTTTGTGAAAGCTCACCGAAAAGAGGCTTCTGGCTAAGTGTTGCTGATGTTATGCATGAATTATTTGCATTTATATTGTGCCTGCCATCCCAGGATCTCAAAGTGCTTTACAAAGAGCCTCAATTCTGTCCCACAGTTAAAAGATGGTACTTCCCAGCCTTACCCTAAATCCAACCTAGGGACAGTGGCACAGTACTGAGAGAAGAGTGCCACCTACTGCATTATTGATGCTTTGTCTTCACTGCTTGAAAGAGGATTTATTTTTACATGGAGTTGGCTCCCAATGTAAAACCACAGTCTCTTAGGTGCTCAGGGCCACTCGTTTTTTAAGTTACAGACTAGCACTGCTACCCATCTGAGACATTTTGTATTGAAGACCTATCCTAATGCTATGATTGGCATGATGCCTACAAAACACTGAACAATGATTAGACTGGTGGTGTGCTGAGACCACTGCCTATCATGCTGACCAGGATCGTCTCATTGTTTACTTGTATTCTCCCCCCACCCCCCAATCTGTTGTCTTTTGTTTTGTACTGATATTGTAAGTTCGTTGGGACAGGATGTGTCTTTTTGTTCTGTGATTGTATACTGCCTAGCACAGTGGGATCCTGAGTCCTTACTAGGGCTCCTTGGTGCTACAATAATACAAATAATAAATAATAATGCTATTATCTGCAGTCTCCTGGGATGTCTTGACGGGGGAGGGAGGTCAACTGTAAGGTACTAAGTAGGCCTGACATGGATTAACGTGTGAGACCTGACAAGATCAGAGCACAGGGTGTGAACATTAAAGCACTTTTTGGGCTGGGAAAATGAACATTGACTTCTGAGAAGTGGCTGGAGTTAAAGGGCGAGTCTTTAATAGTCTTTAATGTTTAAACTCTCTCTCTCCCTCATCTTGCAGGCTCCCCGGAGGAGGCAATAGCTCCCCTCTGCCAAAGCTTCATGATCCCCAAAAAGGAAATAAACATGGTTCCTGACATGGCCAAGTGGAAACGCTCTCAGGTATGGAATTGAGTCTGTAAGGGTATGTCTATCCTACAGGATAAGGTCGAAGATACGCAACTTCAGCTACATTAATTGTGTAGCTGAAGTCGAAGTACCTTTCCTCGACTTCTGGCATTGTCCACACTCTCCCTTCAAGTTCCCTTACTCCTCGTGGAAGCAAGACTACCAGCATCAACTGGAGTGCCTCTCTCAGTTCAAATTAGTGTGTCTTCACTAGACCCGCAAATTTGAACCCTGGAAGATTGACAGCAGCAACTTTGATCTTCTCTGTAGTGTAGACATACCCTTAGGAGCTTGGTGTGTTCCAGGGGCAGCATTTGCATGGAAAAGGCCAATCCTGGTTTGGGCCTAGGTAATTGCTCCCCCCCCCCCCCTTTTTTTTTTCCTCGACAACTTTTCCTCTGGTCCCTCTTTCCCCAGCCTCTTCTTTACTCTACAAGTTTGAGCCTGGAGTACTGGCACCTTTTTTCTTACACACAAAGCACCATCTTTACCAATCTGTAGGATTAGACAACACAAAGTATTGTCAAGGTAAAATGCTTGAGCCATGTCTACACTCTCACCTTTCCTACTAGTGCAGGTGAACAGTTTTTTCCTCTATACAAGGACTGAAAGCCTGGAAGAGGAGGAAAGCGATCCCTCTGTGAGCTTTGATCAGCATGCAGTCGCTGTCTGTGCTTCAAGAAGATCTGTACGCCTCATGATCATGTTGAAACATGTTGCTAGCAGAGTATTGGGCATGTTTTCCCTTAGCAGCCCAGACAGGGTGTGGCCTGAGAAATGTGACTGTGGTTAAAATGATTCTGCTCTCACTGGGACCATGGTATTAAAACCTATCTACAGATGGTAGCAATTGTGACATGAAAAATATTCAGTCAGGTTCTGATAAATAAGAAATGTAAGGTCCCATTTATGCTGCAGCTAAAACAGAGTTAGAGGACCTGGTTACAATATGGTTAGAGGTTGCAGAGCTATAGCTTTGGCTAGCTTAAGGCTTCAGTCTAGATGTCACCAGGTATACTCAGGATTTAACCTAACTGTGTTGTGATGGCCTATAGCTTTGACTAGCTTAAGGCTTCAGTCTAGTTACGGGGAAAGATGTCACCAGGTATACTCAGGATTTAACCTAACTGTGTTGTGATGGGTGTCTCTACTCAGGCTAGTGCAGGCTGAGCCCAAAGTATCATGCTAGGTGGACTAAAACTATTAGAAACATCACTTTCATAAGTGTTCCCCATTCCTGCATAGTAAGTGACTTATAACTGTCTTGATATGCCCACTCTTGTCTTTCAAACCATGCTAGAACCTGGTTTACCCCTGCAGTGATTGAACTGAAGTTTGACATGGTTTCGAACATAGTTTTCTGTCTAGTGTTGATAGGGCCTTTGATTATAGCCCTGTCCACAGAACAGAAGTATCCATTCAAAACTTGGTTTTTGGGTGAGCCATGATAGAGCATGTTGTGTCCTTTTTTTGTCTGATCCTTTAAATCTTAACTAAGTTCAAAAACAAAATTTTAAGTGCAATCCCCAAACATAACTTCTTAATGTTGTTATAACATAGCTTTCTATCCTCAGCTATGTTTATGATCCATCCTATCACACTATAATATGATCCCTGATATAGTAGTTCTTAGACTTGAGGTGACTGGCAGTCTAGGTACTAGCCAAGAAACAGACAGAATTTGGCCCTTTCTATTGTTGATGTTGGAGAAGGGAGATGAAGATATGTTAGTTCTGCTGGCACAGAAAGGCTATTAGCAGAGGTTTTACTACTACCACAATTGCAGTTGGCACATTGCTATACATTGAGACAGCTTCAGGCTGTCTGTGCACTTGACTTTTCCCATTGTTAAATACCTGTCTCCCTGTGTATGTGAACTTGTGACAGGTGGCCTGTTGGTCAGTCCTGCTCTTTTTGGACTAGACTGAGACCATTCTCTTTGTCAGCAGAACTGTTTTGTTGAGGCTTTAACCTCTCATCTAACTGGTCTGAGTGATGTAATGATTTTGACGGTTTTGTGCATTTCTTGAACTTGGTGCCCACACGCAATGTGGTATCTGCTCCAGCACATTGTGACCAACACCCTTTTCACCAATTTGATTATTTTTTTCTCTTGTGGAAGAGACCATTTTAAATGGTTAAAAAAACCAAGAATATGAGTCCTGCTTAGAGGGCCTGTAGTGACACTGGGGTGACTGTTTGTAATGATGTCTGCTTAGCTTGGTGGAGAAAAAATGGCTGCAGAGGAAAGCGCACAGTTCCTCAGGTAAATGTTTAGGCTTGAAGCCCAGAACTGTCAGGATCTGTGTTCTTGTGTCTGTGGTACAAACTTGCTGCTGAGGTGTGGAGACAACAGGGTGGGAATAGCTTTTGGATGGGGACCAAGCTATGATGCCATCAAAGGGTTTTAAATGATAATAAGGTTTAACAAAGGCTTGTGACGGAAACCTCCTTTTTTTTTTCCTCTTCCCAGGGTTTGTCATATTTTTGCCTAGAGCTTCTGTGGTAGGAAGTCATGGGGGCGGCAGGGGACAATGAGCTTGCCTGAAATGAAAAAAGCCATTCCCTACTCCTAGAGCTTTGTGGCACTTTCACCACTGTGCTTCCTAAGCAGCCTGACAAGACTCTGTATGCAATGCTTCACGAGCAGAAAGAAGAGAAAGATATGTGTTTGGGGTATCTACTCTGTATGCGATGCTTCACAAGCAGGGGAGCTGAAAGAAGAGAAAGATATGTGTTTGGGGTATCCTGTGGCCACTTCTCCTAATTGTGGGCAGTATGAAAGAAGGCCTAGTGCAGAGAGCGGGAGAAATTTGGGAGAAGCAATGTGGAGTAGGAAGAGACTGTGCAAAACCTGGACATAAGGAGCATGGATGTGGCATAGTAAGAGACGGGACCGTGGTGAGGGATTCAAGGAGGAGGGTCGTCGTTTGGGTTCGGTTAGTGTGATATCAGCACCGAGGGCTCAGAGTGCACTTAGTGCTGTTCTAGGAGTCCCCAAGGACAAGTCAGTAGCAGCAGAACAAGCCGTGTCCTGGGCTATCCCAGGAAACTTATGCTCTGGATTGGGAATCGTCTGTTGCTTTTTTTTTTTTCTAGGCTTCTCACACCGGCATTGCTTGCCTCCAAAGTAATTGTCAGTGCTCAGTTAACACCCCTTCCATTTGTGTTTGTTTGCAGGCATATGCGGATTACATAGGTTTCATCCTCACCCTGAACGAAGGTATCAAGGGCAAGAAGTTGACCTGTGAATACAAAGTCTCTGAGGTGGGAAAAGGGCCCAAGCCTGTTGTTTCCAATCTTGTACTGCTCAGCTTTTGCTGGTTTGCCTTCCATAGCAGGTCCCAGGGCTGCCATGGCTCCATTTTATTCTCCCTCAGGCATTACCCAAGCAGCCATGGTATGATAGAGCCAGCTGGGGGGACTACAAGTACCATCATGCAATGGGGCAGCGGTTCATTTGGTAACTAGGTGCCTTTTACTTACTCACAAAACTTAATTGAGGAAGCTGGGTTGATTAAGCAGTCAGGGCAAAGAAAAAGGTGGGGCCCTGTTCTGTCCACACGCACTACACTATTGCTGCCTGCTCTGAGCCAAAAATTCCATTATAAGAAGCCATCTTATTTAATGGCTGTAGTGGAGAATTAGGAGTCTTGGGTTCTGTTCCCACTGATATGCTATGTGATCTCTGGCAAGTCACTTGCTCTCTCTCTGCCTCAGGGTCCCCATCTTTCAAATGGAGTTATTAGTACTGACCTCCCAGCGAGGGCTGTGAGGTTTTAGTCATTCATGTTTAGTAAGCATTTAGAACTGAAAGATGGTCAAAGTCTTGTTCGCCCTTTCCCCTCGGTGCCAAGGTTCCTTGGGTTTCGTGTACCTTTGCCCCTGAGGGGACAGTTAGGTTTTTTTTGGACTGCAACAATCTCCCTTTCCTGGGTAGTTGTCTGGGCAGCAGTTACAACCACTCTTGGCCTTGGTGGGAACCCTGTCATAGGCTCTAATGACTATTGTTTGAACAAGGGGTGTGATGTAGAGAGGCTCTTTCCATGCAGCTAGCCTTGCTCTGCCATGCCTGAACTCTGAGCCCAGTTGGGCTCTGCCTTAAGCAGCATTGGCTCCTGTGAGCTCAGAGCAGACTTTTGTCTGAGTCCAGACTGTCTAATGCTGCACTTCGCTTTCTTCTAACTCGATTTATGAGATGTGTGCAGACTATAGACTGGGTAGGGGAAGGAGCTATGCTTGGACTGAGGTGCTTGCTCTAAGGACTGGTTCAGAGGTGTTCAGCCAGTCTTTAGAGGAAAGTAGGACACTAGTGACCTGGTTCCCCCTGGAAAGTTGTCTGTCACCTGGTGGCGTTTGTAAAAGTGCATCCACTTGTGTGCAAGTGGGCTAAAAATTATCTCAGCCTGGATTCCACTACACTGACTGAGGTCAGAGGTGGACTATAGAGTGGACTTTCAAGGTTATACTGCAGATTTCCTCTTCCTGCGCATTACCCACTGGAACTTGTCATGTTTCTGTCAAACTAAGCAGTGGTGTAACAATGGGCTGTGTTTATTGTATCAATCACTGAACTCCTCATCTTCCACATGGCACTAGGCCGAATCTAGTACAGAGCAACTAAGAGAATTTCTGGAGAACCCCTTATCCATTTCCAAATTTAGACAATCACAACTGTGCAGGTTAATGGGGCTGCTTAAAGGAGACCTGCAAGTGGCAGAGGAGGAAATGGACTTCTGCCCTGTCTGGTTGCTGTTTTCTGGGGGTAAGGAAGAGGTCTGGAAGAAACCTTTTTCCTTCAACATTTTGGTTCTTATTAGAGATGCCAGGGCTGGCTGTTCTTGTTCTGGGGAAAGTTCCATTGAGGAGCAGGACATGTGGATTAGAAACTCACTTGCCCTTTGCCGATAGAATAGTGATCTGGAATTACTACCAAAAACAATTTTCTTCCCAACTTTTATTAAGGCATTTGGTTACATAGGAACTGCCAAAATCCCCACATTTTAAGCAGTCTGAATAAAACCCATTCCCCCTTCCATTTATTCAGGGTTTGCCTGCCAAGTGTGCCTCTGTCATAGTTAGGTTGATCTCCAGTCATCACTAAAATCTTACAAAGAAGAGAGGGTAGCAAGACTGTTTTGTACATTAGCAATTCAAATCAGAATAATAATGTTAAACCCCAGTCCTTCACCCTTTCAGGCCTTTAACTATCATAAAAAAGCATAAATCTGTTCCTCTCACTCTTGGCAGATCCCCTTGAAATGGCTTTAGTGCCTGTGACAGGTATCAGATGTGATGTCAATAACTAGGAAGGTTGCAGGAAACTTATCTGGCTGCCTTCATGCTGAGCAGGTAGAAACCTGTGACTGAAGGCAAAATGAATCTGCTTTCCTCTTGAGTGGAGGGTTCCATGGGTTGCCCTGTTGATGAAGCTGCATCCATTTTCTTCTTGCTTCCCTACTCCCTCCTGAGGTTCCTCCTTCATCTTTGTATCTCCCTATCTGCCCTAAAACTTGGAACCCCTTCCTGTACCTAATGCTGTCCCTCCAATCCCTCCTTTGCATGCATGTCTTCCTTGAAGCTGCTCCCTTATTGGCCCATCAAAGAAAGGAGTGATGGGAGGGGAGAGAAGACAGACTATTGAGTGTCTGAACCCAGTCACGTACACCGGTCTTTCTCAGCTTTTTTTTTTTTTTAAATAAAGTATACCTCAAAAAAATTATAAGTACCCCTAGTACCTACAGTTTTCAGACACACCCTTTTTTTTCCTACCATTGCAACACATTTGTTTAAACAACTTAATTGTAGCCAGGCAGCCAATGAAATATTTGGGTTTAAAAAGTACAAAAATATTAAAGTTCTGTAAAATTTAAAACAAAAATTCAATTTTTTCCAAATTTCAGTTGTTGATGTACCCCCTCAGATTTCTCTCGAGTACCCCTAAGGGTGCTGGTACCACTGGTTGAGAAACACTGATGTAGACTCATGGCTACCCCCTGAGACATTTGAACCCAGTGGTGTAGCTGAAGGTGTTACCCCGTGAAGTGAACATGCTTCAGGTGTGAGCGCACTTGGCTCCCACTGAAATCAAATGAATGCACTCCATGCCTCTCCCGAGGAGCTGCTCCACCTTGCAGGGCCAGACCTTCAGACTGTAACCTCTGTGGCACAAGCCTGGGTTTTCATCTTGCACTGAACGTACAGACTGCACTTAATAAATGAGCGGTCTGAGCATCTGTCTGTGAGCTGCATATGACTACCCCAGTGGAGACAGAGTGTCTGGCTGCTTGCTGGGAGGTGTTCCTGGAGCTGCATCCCAGGCCAATCTGTAACAGCTGTTGCTTTGGCATGTAGGTCTAATAAGGCAGGAAAGGGTTAATGTTGAGCTTTCAAGTGAGGCGCTTTGGGGTGAGAGAACAGGCAGCCTGCAGAGAGGTCTCAGTTCCTGTGATTTGTTTATTTGTGTTTGCCCACTTCCATCTCGCATTTGGGAATCCCTGCACCTGAGTGGCTGACACAGCTCTGGGTGACTTGCTTGGAGTCTAGGAGGGGAGGATGGGAAAGAGGCAGTCACTCTAGACACCAAGGAGCCTGGCTGCTTGGGCTCTAGAGAGAACATTGTCATCTGATCGCCTCCAGGTGGCTGGCTGGCTGCTCACAAGAGACCCTGTCACTAGGCCACTGTTCCATAGCAGGCGACAGGGTTCACCTTTGTGATCACAGGGCAGATTTTGGTCTGGGAGGGTGACAGGTTGCAAAATCAGCACAACAGAAAGAAGAGTGGTGGGGGAGGAGGGAGGATTTGCCCTTGCTCTGATGCCTGGGAAAGTAAAGTGAAAATAGAGCCTAAAAACTCAGCCACCCAAGACCATGCAGCCGTGGTGCTGATCTCCCAAGTTCCTGTGAGCTTTGCTGTTTCCCCTGGTAGCATGAGTTTGCTCTGCCCTGTTCATTCTGCTGGGTAATGGAAACCTGCCCCTTTTAATAAGCCCCCTTTCAAAAGGCCCCAAGCCCAAAATGAGCTGCGGCTCTTTAATTATTTATTGGCATGGCTGAGGCAGCAGCTGGGTCCTGCTCTCCTGCATTCAGCTGGGCTGTTTTTAATCCCTTTAAAGCAGGCAGCGAGGAAGGGATGCGTGACTCTGCCTCCCCTCCCTGAGGCCTGGAGGCAGAGACTGCAAGGGGGACAAAAGAAGAAAATCTCTTGCCAGCCATTTATCCAGCCGGCACCAGGGTTTGAAATACGGGAGCTGCTCGTAACGAGCTGCTGGCGAATAAATCACCAGCGTTATTTAATTATTTAACAAAAGCCACTGCCAGGGCCTCTCTTGTTAATTGGAGGGAAGTGTGGCAGCTAGTTCAGGCTGAACTGAAAAACAAGCCCAAGCCCTTTGAGGAAGGTCCTATCTCTGTGTTAGGGGTCTGTACAGTGCCTAGCACCATGGGGTCTGGATCGATGACTGGCTCCCTACATGCCATTGCAATAGAGACAATAAATAATAATAGTCTTGGCCCGCTTCACTCGAATCACAGGTGCTGCCCTGTCCCTGATTCCAGCCTGTGAACTTACAATGGCTCCCAGGTTGCATGTGGCCTGTTGTCTTACCTGGTGCATCTGCAGATGGCTGTGATTGGGCAAGGCCAGACTAAAGTTCTGCTATCCCTGCTTTAATCTGTCCTTGCCCACCCCCCAAGGATTCGGGG